TAAGCATGTTTCCATCCATCCAAAAAAAAAAACTATCCCAATTAAATGCATTGATATTTGTGGTACCTGAGCGTCAATAGGTAAACAAATGAGCATGGACACTTTTGCAAGGTGCTGTGGGTAAAACTTTCGTAAAGTTGCAGACCATGCATAACTACCATGACATTTAAAGGATTTAAACAGCAAGCTGGTTGTAATCATGCCCAGTTGTAAAGTTCACTGATTGCAGCTGGCTTAGAGGCCTAATTAAACTCATTATTATAATGCAGGTTTATAGAGGAAAGAGCATGAAGGGAACACTTGTACACAGAGATCCAGCCCAGGCTCTTCTCAAATGGCCAGATCTGCTAGTTGTAAGGAAAATGAGGCTGTGGTAATAGTAACCTTTGCATGGTCCAAAATACCCCTTTCAGACGCATCACCCTCTATCCTTCACTTTTTCTGTCTCTATTTAAACCATAAAAGTAAACATTTCCCCTCCATTATTATCCATCCAAATTATATTCCACCCACAACCCAGTTTTACTGGCTCCTGATAGCAGGCCTCTTTGTGTTGTGACACTCCAAAAAAAACAGTCTTACTGAACTTTGTGGCCATCATAGCTAACCTGACACAACCCGGCCCGCCGCTCCAGTTACACAACATGTTTACCGCAAGTCATTTAATCAAAAACAGACCAGAACGCAAAGCTTCCATCTTTATATGCACCTCAGGTCTGAAATGACAGGGGAGGAAATGTCCCTATACGAGTGTTTTGACTTTGAGCTTCCGCTGCAGCTTAAGCATAATTAGCATTGGATTGTTTAAGGGCAAAGTGTAGTGAAGTTCTCATTTTTGATTAGCTCATTCGGTCTCCTCTAGAGACGCCCAATCATAAACAAGCACGCTGAACTAAAAGTAAATAATCCACGGATAACATACCGTGATAACTAGCTGGAAAATGAAGAATTTAAACGGGTACAAAGGCTGCCTGAGGGCAGCTTCACGCTAATGACATGTGAACGTATATAGTGTCCTTGCAGACATCACATAGATCCAATCAATTTGATATTACTATGAATTTTACGACACATAACCTCTCTTCTAACCGTCCCATGCCCTTTCAGTCTGTTTTTAAATGACACATAGATGATTATGATAACAAGGAGCAGACATCTCCAACAGCACTTCAGAGCAACATATTTTGAATACATTTTTCAGTTGCAGGAGAGATATGCATGATCTCTTCTTATTTTAATAAGCAGCTATAAACATACATCAATTGTCAAAGCCTTCTATGTGCAGGGATTTTCCAGTTTGCAGGTTTTAGTTTAGATGTTCCGACCAAGGCTGCTCAGTTTCACACTGTTTATAAGAAATTATTTGTTGTGTCCTTATAAAAAAAAAAGAAACAGTACATGCCAGCAAAATTTTTTTGTTTTAAAATAACGATGATAAATTCTGCCTTAGAGGTATTGATTGACCTGGTATATTTGTAAATGGGTTAAAGTCATGAAAAATAACAGGGAAGAATGAATACATAAACAGAGCTGAATAGACTCATTGGCTTATATTGCTTATCATGGTAAGCTATAATTGCTAAATCCAACATTGGTCAGGTAGAATATCTGGTCAGTAAATGAGGGGAAAGCAGACCCGATCCAAAGAATAAACACAATGAAACCTAAAAAGTTCTACTCAGCAAAAATACATCAAAACATCACTAGAAAGTCTGGCTTCTGCATCTTTCTCAGACAGTAACAGCTGGTTTCTTCAAAACCTGGAGGGTACCACCGTGAAAGAGACAAAGACATGGGAACCATGTGCAGATAATAAAACAAATCCTCTCTTAACAGCATATTGCATTGCAGGGCAACATTTGATCTGTCATTTGATTGCTTGCCTGTTATATCAGAGCTGGTGTGCAGCCATCTGGTGATGTGGCTTTGTGAGTGATAGCATCCCAATGCATGATTGAAGTGATTTAAAACAGGACAACCAATGCAGAGCAGATGGGGGAGAACACACACCCCTAGAGCTATATCTAAAGGAAAGTTTTTACTTTTAACTAAATGAGTCTCAAATACAGCAAATGAAAGGGCTCATCTGATTTTAGAAGCAAATAGAATTTAATACCAAAAAATACGTATATAGGATCACATAAAAATATGAAGCGTCCACAATAGTCTCCTATACTTCAACCGTTTCCCCCAAACAAAAGAGCAGCTTCTTAGTATTTCTTGGTAAACTTCGACATTCCTCCGTCTCTAAGCAGAGACACCACAGACGAAATCACCAGTAAAATTAGCTAATTAACACTTTTCTCTGTGGCTTTAGGGGACAAACCAGAGGAATATTTTCCCCGGACATATGGTATGAATCCCAACAGGAATATTTTGGAAACAAGCAGCACTGGCCTGATGCGTGGCATAAAATATAATCTCTTTTCATGAAACGTGTGACAGCTGCAAAGGAATGTGACGGTTGCAGAGGGGTACGCAAGGGGCAATGGTTCGACTCAGACAAACCAAAGAGGAAGTGGAGGAAA